TGCTGCTGCTGCTGCTGCTGATAGCTGTGCGGCTGAGTCACCTTAGGGAAGCTAACTAGCTTTGTTGTGCGCTGCTGCGGCAGCGGTGTCTGCTGCTGCTGCAGCGGGGTCTGCTGCTGTTGCTGGCTAAAGTCCAATTGTGTTCGCTTGTTGCGGTCTTGCTGCTGCTGCTGCTGCTGCTTCAGAAGCTGCTGCTTCTGCTGCTGCAGCTCCGTAAGGCTGCAGCGGTAGCCGCTGCTGCTGCTCTCTGCTGCATCACTTGCTGTGGATACTCTGAAGTCACTCAGGGAGGTCTCAAGCCCCCTGCTTCCTGCTGCTGCTGCTGCTGCTGTTGCTGCTGCTAAATCCTCTTCTGCTGCACAAGGAAACACCACCCAATCAAGGAGCGTCCCAGCGGCGTCTGCTGCGCTGCTGCTGCTGCTGCTGCTGCTGCTTTTTGACAGGCCTTGGATAGTTACTTTTACGTTATCTCTCTGCCGCAAAACAGCTCTGTCCTGCTCGAGAGTCTGCTGCTGCTCAGTCCGCACCTGCTGCTGCTGCTGCTGCTGCTGCTGATACGTGCGGCTTCTGCTGCTCTCTGCTGCAGGACCCAGGGGGCTGCTGAGGGCAGCAAATGACGCAGCACTGTGAAAACGTGCAGCTGAGTTGCCACCAATCTCTTGCTGCTGCTGCTGCTGCTGCTGCTGCTGCTGCATGCAAGAGACTCTGCTTGTAGAGCCAGGGTCAACGTAGCGCTCCGGAAGAATATAAGGGCCAGCTGAGTGGCGGCGTAGGCTTGCTGCTGGTGCTGCAGCTGCTGCTGCTGCTGCTGTTGTTGCTGCTGGTGCAGCTGGACTTGTCGCAGCATTTGCTGCTGCTGCTGCTGCTGCTGCAGTTCTCCCGCAATAAGCCGCAGAGGAATTCGGATCTGCCCAGCTGTTGCGGTGAAGAGTTGCTGCTGCTTGTGGCCGAGGTAGCTGCTCCGATAACTGCTGCTGCTGCTGCTGCTGCAGCTGGCGCTGCAGCGCCTGCACACGCTGCTTGTGAAGAGCTTCTTCTCTTTGCTGAATGAGCAGCTGCAGCTGTATCTGCTGCTCCTGATTCTCGGCTTGCAGCTTCCGCAGCATCTGCTGCAGCAGCAGCACTTCCTCCTGCTGCTGCTGCTCGCTCTCGAGCAGGCCTCCCAGCTGCTGCTGCTCCGACAGCAGTGTATGCTGCTGCAGCAGCAGCTGCTGCTGCGGAGACGGCTCCAGTTGCACTGTATGATGCCTTCGCTGCGGCTGCTGCTGCTCCAGCCCCTGCAGTGCCCAGTGCACCGTATGGTGCCGCTGCTGCTGCTGCTGCTGCTGCTGCTGCTGGAATTTTTCCTCCCCGCTGCCCGCAAGAAGACTTTGCTTCCCTTGCTGCTGCTGCTGCTGCTGCAGCTCAGAGCCTGCGACTTCAGGTGTATCTACAGTCCAAGTGCCCCGGGCTCCCAAGGGACTTCGGGCCCTGTAAAGAATGTACTGGTTGTAGCTGCTGTTCGAGCGGAGGGGGCCATCTTTTGCTGCTGCTGCTGCTGCTGCTGCTTCTTCTTCTGCCTGCTGCAGCATTGCAGCAGCAGCCGTGCTGGCCAGCAGCCGGCTCACCTGCGGAAACACGGGGAGGGCCCCCACATTGCTGCTGCTGCTGCTGCTGCTGCTGTAGGGCCACCTCAGGAGGGTCTCTCTGTCGGCCGTTGCTGCAGCCGTGCTGAAGCCACGTGTGGAAGAAGCAGCAGGCGCAGCAGTAGCAGAATCTGCAGCAGCAGCAGCAGCAGCAGCAGCAGCAGCAGAATCCGCACCAGCAGCGCTGCAGTAGGGGCGGCCCGCAGCAACTGCTGCTATCTCTTCAGCCAAAGTGTCTATTAAACCCATTTTGAAAAGCCAGCAGCAAAAGGGGCCCGGGGGTCTTTGGGGGCCCCCGAAGCAACTTGAAGTTATTTCAATTTCGAAGTTGAAATGAGTTGAAATCACTCAAAGGAGCAGCAGCAGCAGCTGCTGCTGCTGCTGCTGCTCGACAGAAGCTGAAGAAGACTCGAGATTGCTTTGTTTTGAAATAAAAGTCTGCAGCAAAGTTTTCGAAATGCAGAAAAGACAGACAAGTGCTGCTGCAGCAGGAGGCTCGCGGGCGAAACACGAAAGCCGAAAAAGAGGAGTCCGCGGCGGATTTGGCTCCTTTTTTCTTCTTTTTCTTCTCTTTTTGCGGAAAATAAACAAGAAAAACAAAAAATAAATGAATTTAAGTGCCAATTTGCTGCTTCAACGCAGATTTGCTGCCGCGTTCTGCAGCAGCAGGCAGCCCGACGGCGCCTCGGGCTTGCGCGCGCCGCAGCAGATACAAATTCCCTCTTTTGCGGAATTAGGCCTTCAAAAGAAACAGAAAAGGGCCAAAAAGGGAAAAAAACCTCAAATTCTAAACCCTAAACCCCAAACCTTAAACCGTAAACCCTAAACCCTAGGCCCTAGCGCAGCAGCGCAGACGGCTCTGGTAGCGATGCTGCCGACCACTGGTGCAGTGGCTGTCCGCCGCTGCGGCGCCAGTTTTCCGTTTTTGTTCTTTTTTCGCCAATTCGAAGAATTAAATTTTAAAAAATTATTAAAATAAAACCAATTTGCAAAAAGGAAATATTAATTCGCCTTTTTGGTGGCTTAAATGGCCTTTTTGCTCGAAGATCGACGCAGAAACGCACGCAGCAGATCCGCCGCAGCTGCCGCCGAAGAAAGCCCTCGAGACCCCGCCGCAGCAGTCCTGCTCTGTGGGAAAGCAATTGAATTCGGTTGAAGAAATATATTTTGAATGGAAAGAAATACAATTTACTTAAAAGAAATATATTTTAATTCAAATAGACATTTATATCTTTCAAAGAAGCAGCCGGCGGACTGGTGCAGCTGCTGCTGCACTTGCGCGAAACTTGAACAGAAAGCTGTTGCAGTCAGATCTTCGAGGTTTTGAAATGATCTTACAGTTATTAAATTCAATTTTAATTTCTTTTCATTTTCCGTTTTTATTTAATTAAAAAGAACCGCAAAAAAGTATTATCGATCTCCTCGACACAGCACGACTCGCCCGGTGTCTGTTGTGCAAGTTCAACATGTACAAAGCTTCTACTGAAGAAAATGAAACGAAATAGGTTTATTAAATGCTTTTTAAATGAATTAAATATTTAAAATAATTCAAAAACTAGAAAGAAAAGAAAAAAAGAAGAAAACGAAAAAAAAACGTCTAAACTACCTTTTTATGAATATATTTCTCGCATGCATTTCGGGCCAAAAGTTGAATTTCGACTTTTTGCAATTTCGTTTTATCTTAATTTAATTCTTTTATTTATAAATACATAAACATAAATGTGTTTTAATATTAAAATTATATAATTGTTTTTAGATGGTTTTAATTTATTCTTTAAATCCATTTGTCTGCAAATTGAAATATTTTATTGGCCTAGGTGGCAGGCAGTCTTCAGCTTCTGCAACACTCAGCGAAGTGATGCAAGCCCAAACCCTAAACCTTAAACCCTAAACCCTAAACCCTAAACTCCAAACCCTAAACCCTAAACCCTAAACCCTAAACCATAAACTATTAGCAGCGCTAAAACCTACAAGGAGAACTGCAGTCTTTAAAACTATCTATGTTGAACCCTCACGCCTAAAGCAGGACCTGCAGCGGGAAACCCCTAATTCTAAACCCTAAACCCTAAACCCTAAACCCTAAACCCTAAATTCCAAATCTTCGTTGTTTGAGATGAAAAACGATTTTGCAATTCGCTTTTTTTCTTTTAATTTTTCGTTTTTAGTTTCTCTTCTTTTCTAATTTAGCTGAGCCACTTAGTAAACACTTCTTTCCCCCACTTTCCCCGCCGCACCGCGGGCCAAGTTCAAGTTCACAGACTTGCTGCAGCAAAATGTACATTTTGCTGCAGCAAAATGTACATTTTGCTGCAGCAAAATGTGCCTTTTCGCGGAACAAAGGAGCAGCAATTAATCATTTTTCAAAAATAATGCAAAACAAACAATAAAACGAAGGATAATTACGAATTAAAAGCGGGTTTCCACTTTTTTGAATTTCGAAGCTACGAGCAGCGCTGGGGTGTACGGACACTACGCGACCGCCGGAGTGCACCCGCCGGCACTCCGGACGTGGAAAAGAGTAAAAATAAACGCGAAATGGAAATTAGAACAAATTATTTTCCTACTTTCCTGTTTGCGAATCATTTAAAGTGCAAAATGTCGAAAAGAACTGCTGTTTCCCCGCAAGTTTCGCCGCTGCTCAGCAGCAGCCAGCCCTCGGAGTGCTCGGAAAGCAGCGCGTTTGAAGGGGAAAAAGCAGAAAAAGAAGAAAAGAAAGAAATCAAAAAACTGAAATTGCAAAATGCAATTTTAATTCCGCATTTGGAAATTCAAAAACTCGATATTTCCTCCGCTTTCCAGTGAGACTCTTTTTGCAGCTTTCCCGACACCCCAAGTGCAAGCCCGCAGACTCAACGTCGAGGAAGAATGCATGCATTATTTCGCAGCTCTTTCCGACAATATTCACGAAGTAAAAACAAAATTAAATTAAATTATATTAAATTAAATTAAATTAAATTAAATTAAAGAAAATTCAAATTGTTCAACTGCAGGCTGCGCTGCGCACTGTGAAGTCTCTTGCAAAGAGGAAAGTTGCATTTCAAGACGAAGACGTTCACGAGGGCATCAAAGTGAGATACTCTTTTTTAAATTAATTAATTAATTAATTAATTAATTAATTAATTAATTAATTAATTAATTAACTTATTTATTTACTTATTTATTTATGTATTTATTTATTTATTTGTTTATTTTGATTTAATTTGATTTGTTTCAGAAATTGAAAAAGGAGCTGCAAACGAGGCGCGCGGAGGTCGCGGCGGAATTCAACTGCGCAGGTGCTCGGGTGTCTGTACACCTCAAAGTTGCTTCGCTCATGGATTTCGCAGGCCGCCAAATGCGGGAAGAGAAGAATCATTTAAATGAGTTTTCTCAAATGATAAAAGAAAAGGTACTTAGCTCCAAAACAAGTCCCAACTGCAGCAAACGCATGCAATCCGCTGCTGTAGCAGCAGCAGTTCAAAGAACAAGCTGCTGCTCTCTTTGCTGCTCTCGACAGAAAAATTGAAATCCATTTCAAGAAATTAAAAGAAGAAATTAAACCTCCCCAACAAAGAAAAGCTCCGCTGCAGAAGCCCCCTGCTGCTGCTGCTGCTGCTGCTGCTGCAGCGCCTGCTGCTGCTGCAGCAGCAGCACACTGCCGCGGCCGAGGGCGGCCTGCAGCAATGAAGAGGCTCTGAACTGCAGCTTTTATTTCTTTTTGAATTTTGAAAAACTTTTAATTAAAAAGCTTTTTTTTTTATTTTATTTAAATTTAAATTTAAATTTAAATTTAAGTTTAAATTAAGGTTCAATTTTTATCTCTTCAATTCAAACAAAAAGATAAAAGTAAGTTCAGGCTTTTCGTGGCTGCGGCTGAGACCGCTTGGCCCCAAATTCACACTTTGGCCAAACTTCAAACGAAATAGAATCTAATTAAGGGTTTAGGGTTTAGGGTTTAGGGTTTAGGGTTTTAATTTTATTTTTTGAAACTTGCAAAAGCAGGAAATGCCGCCTCGCGGTTTATGCACAGCTCCTGCTAGCGTGGCTTTTGGAAATTGAAAATAATAAAATGAAATATTTCATTTTATTATACTATATTTTCTAATTTAATTTAATTTGAATAATTCAAATTAAATTAAATTAAATTAAATTAAATTAAAAAGAACTTGAACTTGCGTTTTTGCTGCTGAGGACGCGCGGGGTGTATGGTGACCTCGCGCGATCTTTGAAATTGAAATTCAAAATTTGAATTTTGAAATTCAGTTTCAAATTTATTCATTTTACTTTTAATTTAATTTTAATTTTAATTTTATTTATTTTAATTTAATTTTAATTTAATTTTTATTTCATTTTAGTTTTATTTCTTCAAGACAACGCCAGCCCGGAAGCTGCTGCATGCGCTGCGCAGCAAAGCCCCAGCCCTGCTGCAGCGGGAAAAAGAGGGGAAATAAAAATAAAGTTGACACAAATAAAATAAAAAAATAAATAAATAAATTGAATAAAAAAATAAATAAATAAATAAATAAAATATATTTTCGAATTAAATGCAACTCGCAGCTTTTGCTGCACTTGAAATCTTCTTCTGATCAAGTCTACGCAAAGACTTGTAGAGGTAAGCAGCACTTTAAATTCAAAAACTTTTATTTCATTTTATTTCATTTTATTTCTTTCTATTTACAAACTTCGGAGCTTCTAGTTGAATTACAGGAAAGCTGCAGTTTATTTAGGGTTTAGGGTTTAGGGTTTGGGGGCTAGGGTTTACGGCTCCGCTGTGTGCGCAGCCGCTGCTGCTGCTGCTGCTCAGCAGCAGCAGCAGCTGCTGCTGCTGCTTGAGGGCAACGCAAGCAGCTTTTTGAACTGGAAAGAAAATCGCGGGGAAAACAAAAGTCTTTTAAAACAAAGTTGCAACTCAAATAGACAAAAAAGGCAGTAGCAGCAGCAGCAGCAGCAGCAGCAGCAGCAGCAGCAGCAGCAGCATCTGCTGCTGCTGCTGCTGCCGCAGCGGCAGAAAATGTGGTTTCTTGAGGTGTATCGACGGAGGGAGGAAGTTTGTCTTGAGTATTTGGCGCAGCTGAGGTGTACAGACAGCTCGCACTATCTTGTTGCAATTAATTGCAATTAAAATAAATAAAAGACTTTATTAAAATTACAAAAATAATAATTGTTTTATTCTATTTAAAAAATTAATTATTTTAATTTTATTTATAACTCGAAAAGAAGCAAAAAAGAATCCGAACAACAAAAGCTGCGCGTACACCTGAACAGAGCTGCATGTACACCCGAGCCGCAGCAAAAGGAAAACAGAAATAAAAAAAAGAAAATAAAAAGAAAATAAAACCAGCAGCAAATTAAACAACTAAAAAGAAATAATGTAATCTGTCCTTTTAGTTGGATTGGCGCATTCACGGTTTTCCTGCTGCTGCTGCTGCTGCTGCTGCTGCTGTTGCTGTTGCTGTTGCTGCTGCTGCTGCAGAGAAAAAGCTGCAAAGTTTGAACAGGAAGAAAAGGCAGCTGTGAAGCTGCAGGCGTTTTTTCGATATTATTTGCAGAGACAAAAATATAAGAGAATTAAGTGGGTTTCCTAAATGCTGCTGCTGCTGCTGCTGCTGGCGCTGTCTTGCTGCTGCTGCTGCTTCGTTGCTTCTGCTGCTTCCGGTCGACGGATATTTGCTGCTGCTGATGTACAGGCCAACACGCTATAAACTAAACCCTAAACCCTAAACCCTAGGCCGTAAACCCTAAACCCTAAACCCTAAACCCTTTGCTTGCAGGAAAAGCTCCCAAGTGATCCAACGAGCTTTTAGGGGCCACGTCGCTAGAGCAGCAGCAAAGCGGCAGCAGCAGCAGCAGCAGCAGCAAATGCTGCTCGCGCTGCTGTCCTGCGCTGCTGTTGTCATCCAGAGGCAGTAATACACGCAGCAGCAGCAGCAGCAGCAGCAGCAGCAGCAGCAGTGCATTTGAAGCGCAACAAAAGCAGCAGCCGCTCTTTCAACGCAGCTGATGCAAAATAAACAAAGAAGCAAATAAATAAATTAATAATTTATTATTTATTTATTTATTTATTTATTTATTTATTTATTTGCTGCTTTCAGCTTCAGAGGCTACAGCTGCAGAAAGAAAGTGCTGGATATGGCGGCCCGCCGCCGCTTCATGGAGAGCCTTGCTGCAGCAGTGAGCAGCAGCAGCAGCAGCAGCAGCAGCAACTAAATAAATAAATAAATAAATAAATAAATAAATAAATAAATAATAAAGGGGATAAAAAGATGCATTTGTTGCCACTCGTTTTTTGTTTTCGAAGTTGCACTCTCTTGCTGCTGCTGCCTTTGATTTTATTTATTTATTTTGTGTATTTATTTATATTATTTTTAGTCCTTTATTATATTTTTGGTATTTCTATTTCTTCATTTTTATTTTATTTATTTGTTTTGCTGCTGCACTCTCCAGCGTTGTCGCGGTGTATATACACCTGCTGCTGCTGCAGCTGTTGCTGCTGCTGCAGCTGTTGCTGCTGCTGCTGAGGCTGCTGCTGCTGCTGCGTATGTCTTTTCAGGCTGCATCGATACAGCAAACACTCACAGAGACACAGCAGCAAACTGCGAATGAGAGACAGGTACCTTTTGACGTCGCTGCTGCTGCTGCTGTTGCTGCTGCTGCTGCTACTGTTGCTGCTGCTGCTGCTGCTGTTGCAGCTGCTGCTGTTGCCGCTGTTGCTGTTGCTGCTGCTTGCTGCATGCCTTCTGCTTCCTATTCGTTCTCTTTTGTGTTCCCCTTCTCTCTGTATTGCCTTATATTTTTAATATTCCTGCGTCTGCTGCTGCTGCTGCTGTTGCTGCAGCTGCAGGAAGCAGCAACCCTAGCAGCTCGCTTTGCTGCTGCTGCTCAGCGGCAGCACCACCTGCTCTCCACACAAGCGATTCCTGGTACGTTTCTGCAGCAGCAACAGAAGCAGCAGCTGCTGCTGCTTCGCGTTGTGCTGTTGCCGCTTCATCGCCTCCTGCTGCTGCTGCTTTTGCTGCTGCTGCTGCTGCTGCTGCAGGTATTTATGTGAGGCGCCCCAAAGTTGATGCCTGTGCATACCGCCGCGAGACGCGTCTGCAGCAAGTGCCTTCTGCTGCTGCTGTGGCAGCAGCAGCAGCAGCAGCAGCAGCAAAGCGGCAGTTGAGTCCCCGGCGGGTGCTTGGCGTAGAAGTCGATTTGCTGCTGCAGAAGCCCTCTGCGGCTGCTGCTGCAGCGCAGCAGCTCGTAGCCGCAAAGGGAGCAGCAGCACTTGTTCAGGAACTGAAGCAAGCCAATGCGCTGCTGTCTCTTCGAGCCCCGATTCAGCAGCAGCAGCAGCAGCAGCAGCCGCTGCAGCAGCAGCTGCGCAGCAGCACCACGAAGGGCAATCATGAAGAAGCGGCAGAGCCCGAGAAGAAAAGATGAGCAAAAATCTTAAATGTAATTAAATTAAAAATTAAAAAACAATAAAAAGATAAATACAAAATAGTAAATAATTCATTTAGTTTTAATGAAAAAAAATAGGAGACGCACTGCAGTTCTAACGTGAGCCGCAAACTAGGCAGCAGCAGCAGCGACAGAAGCAGCAGCAGCAGCAGCAACAACCGTAGCAGCTACAGCAGAATCCTATGTCACTCCTGTAGCTCGTATAACAGCAGCAGCAGCAGCAGCAGCAGCAACAGAAGACAAATAGAGGGAGCTTAAAGTCGGTAGAGAAACACCCGAGAGCCCTTGCAGCTCTTGCTGCGCTCTGGCAGCAACTGCAGCAGCAGCAAGTCAGACAGACGCTGCTGCTGCTGCTGCTGCTGCTGCTGCTGCTACTGCTGCTGCTGCTGCTGCTGCTGCTGTGCGTCTTACTGCTCCTCCTGGTCATCGCTGATGGGGGAGACCTCTGTGGGGTCAATTGGCTGCGCAGCAGATTGCTGCAGCAGCTGCTGCAGCGACGCAAGAGTCTCGCGCTGCTGCGGCGACAGCACATCCTGCTGGTGCTGCTCTTGAGGCACTGCGGCCTCCAGCTGCTGCTGCTGCAGTTGCTGCTGCAGCTGCTGCTGCTCTGGAGGAGCTGCTGTCTCCAGCTGCTGCAACAGCGGCCCTTCTTGCAAGTTCTGCAAAACGGGGCATCCATGCTGCTCGTGTTGCTGCTGCTGCTGTAGCTCCAGCTGCTGGTGCTCCTGCTGCTGCTGCTGCTGGAGTGTATCAATTGCTGCAGCAGAACATGCAACGTCCTCTGCTGCGTCTTGCTGCATCGGCTGCAGGTCCTGCTGCTGCCCTTCCTGCAACTCTTGCTGTTGCTGCAGCAGCTGCTGCTGCTGCAATGCTTGCTTCTGCTGCAGTGCTTGCTGCTGCTGCAACGCTTGCTGCTGCTGCAGGGCTTGCTGCTGCTGCTGCAGCGCTTGCTGCTCCTGCAACGCCTGCTGCTCCCGCAGCGCTTGCTGCTGCTCCTGCAGCGCTTGCTGCTGCTGCAACGCTTGCTGCTGCAGCTGCTCATCTAGTGCTATTTGAGTTTCCATTTCGCGCCGTTCAGTCTCCTCTGCTCCTGCTGCAGCGCAGACTGCAGCAGCTACTCCCGCTGGGCTGATTCCTGGAGTTTCCTGCTCTTGCTGCTGCTGCTGCTCTTGCTGTTGCAGTTGCTGCTCATGCTGCGGCTGCTGCTGTTCCATCTGGGCCTGAAGCACTTCTTTGTGCCCCTCAGCTCTTTGTGCGCTCTCTGCCTGCTGCAGCTCCTGACCCCTCCCCTGCTGCTGCTGTTGCTGCTGCTGCTGCTGCTGCCGTGTGCGGTGCCTGCGCTGCGGCAGCGCAGCAGATGCTGCGTTGAAATGACTCTTGCGGCGGTGGTGAGGAGTGAAGAGAAAAGCTGACAAAGGCACAAACCTGCAGCAGCAGCAGCAGCAGCAGCAAGGTTGAGATATGTGCAGCAGCAGCAGCAACAGCAGGGCAGATATGATGCAGCAGCGGCAGCAACGTTTAGGCCCGCGCAGCAGCAGGAGCACGTTGAGTTCAGCGCAGCAGCAGCAGAGACGCGATGCAGCAGTAGCTATGGATGCAAGCAGCAACAGCAGCAGCAGCAGCAGCAGCAGCGGTTCTTGCTGCTGCTGCCAGGCGAAAAAGAAGGAAGGAAAAGGAGACAAAGGAGTATGCTGCAGCAGCGCACCTAAATTGCTGCTGCTGCTGCAGCTGCAGCAGCAGCTCAGGCGTTACGTGAGTCTTGTGCAGGTCTGCTGCAGACGGCTGCGCCACAACTTCATAAAGCTGCTGCTGCTGCTGCTGCTGCTGCTGGCGGCTTGTGGCTCCGCTGTGAGGCCTCCAGGCAGTCTCCAGCTCGTCCTTGTCAGATTCTGCTGCTGCTGCTGCCGCTGTTGCTAGTTGCTGTTGCTGCTCGCCCAGCGATCCGCTGCCGCTGCCGCTGTCGCCGTGGCTTCCATCCGCGCTGCTGCTGCTGCTGCTGCTGCTGCACCTGGCGAAGAAGCTTTGCACGGGAGGCAGCAAAAAGAAAAGATCTTCTTGAAAGAAATAAGTCCCTATAAGATGTGAAGGCGACAGCAGCGGGGGCCTTATCGGCTGGCCTTCTGCTGCTTCGGCGCTGCAGCTTGCTGCAGCAGCAGCAGGAGCAGCAAAAGGCAGCGGCAGCCGCAGCCGCAGCAGCGAGAGGGCCCCCAGCCATGTTGCTGCTGTTGCTCGCCGAGGCCCTGCTTCTGCTGCTGCTGTCGCTGCTGCGGCTGCGGCAGTGCTGCTTCGGCTGCTCAGACAAACGCAGCGCGGGCCCTCGGAAGCCGGCGGCGTGCTGCTGCTGTCGCAGCAGCAGCAGCCCTTGCTGCTGCTGCAGCTGCTGAGGGCCTCTGCCCCAGCTATGCAGTGCAGCAGCTGCAGCAGCACATGATTCACTAAGCAGCAAACATAACTCAAGTCCCGCTGCAGCAGCGAACCAGACACCTGCAGCGGATACAAACCGAAGTAGGCCGTGGGCAGCGCCACCTCACAAGGCTCCTCGCTGCTGCTGCTGCTGCTGCTGCTGCTGCTGCTGGGCTGCGTTGCGGCGACGCACGACCCCCAGGAGGCCGTTACGGGCAGCAGCACCCCGTGCTCAGCAGCAGCAGCTGCTGCTGCTTCTTGAGTCTCGCCGTCCGTTAAAGATGCTGCTGCTGCCCCAGCAACGCCGCTGCTGCTGCTGCTGCTGCTGCGGTGGCAGCCAATAGCAACAGCACTCAGGGCCCGCAAGACTGCCGCAGCATCCATGCACCTCGGCAGCAGCAGCCAACCTGCAGCAACAAATCAAAGCAGCAGCAAATTAAGCACGAGCAGCAGCAGAAGGCTAAGCAGCAGCAGTAGCAGCAGCACGTCAACTAGCAGCAGCAACCATGTCGCCATATGGCTACCGTCAAAAGAATATTAAATACAGCAGTACCAGTCAGCAGCAGCAGCAGCAGCAACGGCAGCAGCAGCACACCATCTCCTCTCGCTCTGGCTGTCTCTGCGAACTCGAATAGCTGCCAGCCGCACAACTGCTGCTGCAGCGCAGCAGCAGCAGCCTCTCCCCAGTGGGCCTTCTGCAGCAAAAGGCAGCAAGCAGACACATCTGCGCAATAGCAGCCTGCTACTGCTGCAGCAGCAGCTGCTGCTGCGGCGGCAGCTGCTGAATGACAACGTACAGGATACAGCAGGAGCTGCGCTAGCGATAGCAGCAGTCCCCACAAAGACAGCAGCAGCAGCAGCAGCACAGCAGCAGCAGCAAGAAGCCCGTACCGCGAATGAGGCTAAGAAAGCATCCAGCTGCGCCAGTAAATGAGCGGTCAAGGCATTGGGAAGGTGCAGCACCCGCAGCAAGTGGCTGGCAGCAAATATTTCTTCCCCCGGCGACTCAGCAGCAGCAGCAGCAGCAGCAGCAGGAGCGGCAACAGGAGCAGCAGGCAGCGCGAACTGCCCGGGGAACGCGAACCCCTCGTAGCTCAGCCACTCAGAAGGGTAGAAGCCCCTCGCTGCAGCAGCAGCAGCAGCAACATGCAACAGCAGCAACATGCAGCAGCAGCAGCATGCAACAGCAGCAGCAGCAACGCTGCTGCGCTGCAGCAAGGGCCAGCTAGCAGCCCCCACTGCAGCTGCTAAATGTTAAATAGTCAAATAACAATTAAAAGGAATAAAAGAACCAAAATATAATTATAAATAATAAATAAAAAGAAGCAGCTGCTGCAGACTAACCTGACTCCCGCTGCAGCAGCCGTTGCAGCGCTGCTGCTGTAGCAGCAGCAGGAGCAGCACCAGCATGTTTTGCTGCTCGCGACAAAAAGGCAGCCCACGGGAACCACTCTGTCTCCTCCTGAAGGACAAATAATAAAAAGAAATTATTTATTTTTATTTATTTAATTTATTATTTATTTATTTTGCTGCAGGGGCTGCGCTGCAGCTGCAGTCGTCACTGTGCTGACGGGAGGAGCAGCAGCAGCAGCGGCAAACGGAACAGGAGCAGCAAAGGAAGCAGCAGCAGCAGCGGCAAACGGAACAGGAGCAACAAACGAAGCAGCAGCAGCAGCAGCAGAG